ATCATATTAGTAGGTGGTTGGAATGTATTTTGTTGGCAGGAGATCCCAGCTCTTAATAATCCATCAAATACAGCTAATCGGGATAGGGAAAAGTTTGACCATATGGGAAAAAAGTCTATATTGTTTGAATACTTCATGCACATAATAGAAATGAATTAGCTGAATTTGATAGTTGTTTTAGAGATCATTTTATCCTACACCAGCTACAAATGCAAGTAAGAAATTGAGCAGTTGTGGGCCATACTTTTTTATGGCCAGAGTGGAGCAAGATGGTTTCACAACCAGTAAAAGAATATTTGCCCCCAATGTTCTTTTCCAAGGGACTGAGTGGTGTAATGGTCATCCCCCAGGATGCTCCCAAACAGCTCACGACAAGACCGTGCCCACACTGTTCCAACCATCTTTGCAATCTTGCATTGAAAATATCTTCCCATGAAATAAATCATATAAGCAAGGAGACATTCTTAATGCAAGGCTATAAAATCTGCTCAAACGGACTTTGCCCTGACCGAAGCCGAACTCATTTTATACAAACAGACAAATTTTCTCCGAGTAGAATCTGGAAACTAGCAAATTTAAAGTTCATTTCAACTGAGTGGTTTTGAAATTCCTGGTAAAAAAAAGTAAGGGTATTGTTTTGAATTCCTTGAAGCTCTTTTGAGAGCAAAATGAAGGAATTCCATGATAAACATAGCTTAAATGTTGTGTTTGAAAAAGACGAAATGGTTATTATGTTCTTTATTGAAGGTAAATCATCTTGAAATCGCCATGTATGAAAGTAATCAATTGAAATCCCCATTTTACGAAGACTACTAAAAGAGTCGAGTCAATTTCCCATCTGACGTTTCATTATGGTAGTAGGTACTCCATAATGGAGGATTTGTGCAGCATGAGACAAATTATCATAAAAAGACAAAACTGAATTCCTTTACTGAGTTCTTCTCAGAATATAAAAGCTTCTAACATTTCGTTTTCATTCACTCAAAACATACTTTTATTTGCTAACTGCTAAGGCTTTCATTTGTGAGTGGTTGAGGTAACTATTAGAGAATAAAAATCTATTTAGGGATCTTATTTAACAGCTTAACCTTTTAGATTAATGGTTCATGAGAAAGTATCAGAGTTTTTTTTGCCCCATTATAATTAATTAAATTTTAGTACAAGGTATAAATGCGTCTGTGCTTGTTCAGGCTTTAAGCCTAATGGACTTTCGCATGAAGGGACATGTTAGAGAATAAAAACCTATTTATAGATCTCATTTAACAGGTTAAGCTTTTAGATTAAATGGTTACTTTAGAGTAACAAATTAAAACTCTCCCAAGAAGAGATTTAAAAAGTCTGTCTAAAGTTGTGCATGAGCTTGTAAAACCATTTCCATGGTTTCTTATTTCCAGCTTTCCATCACTTGTAGCTGAATTTTGTGGCTTAGAAAATTGTTTTAAATGGAACCTGAAATATCAGTGAGGCTACGATTCATATTTGCAAATACCTAAAATCTTAGTTGCCCACTTGCCCTTACTTTGATCCCAACTATCTGGGATCTTGAGAGGGATGGACTGGATACTATCTTTGACAGATTGGGTTCGGTATGAGCTATCCTTCACCCTAACCCTGACCCAATTTCAATATGTTACTTGTTCAAAACCCTAGCGGCCTAGCCCCATTAACAAATATGAAAAGTAGGGATAGATTCGAGCCAAGCTGAGCCGAATAGCTAGTTATTGGAGCTCAGCTCATCAAGGCAATACAAGGCTTGAGCTTGAGCTCAGCTTGGCACAAGTTCGACTTGAGAAAAATGTTTTATAAAAATAAAAATAAATAAATATATATATATATATATATGTATAACATTTTTTATTTGATATTTAAAATTAATATTATATATAATATTTAAATTTAAGAAGTATAATAATTAGTTATTATTATTATATATATAAATATTATATATAATATTTTTTATTATATATATTATTTTCTATAATTTTATTATTATTATTATTTGAACTCGGCTTACGAACTTCATGAGCTGAACTTTTTTAGGCTCAAACTTAGCTCGATTAATAAATGAGCCTATAAATTGGGCTTGAAACTTGGTTGAAACCGAGCTGAATCGAACTTTTCACGAGCCAAGCTCAAATAGATGGTAAACTTTGTCATGGCCATCCCTAATGAAAGAAATCATAAACTTTGTCATTGGGGTAGAAGTCATACCAAGTGACAAAAAATACTCTATGTACGAAGGAGGTATCATGAACCGGTGGGTTGGGATAGTGAAAACAAACACGACCCTTTTTGAGGTATCAAAACCCTAACATGACCTTATACCCCAATATACCTGACTCTAATTCAACCCTAAGCCCGGTTTACGGTTTAACCCGATCCATTGACATCCCTACCCACGTTGGAGAAAAGCATAGAAAGGGTTTAACTAAAGAAGTAGATGACGGTCAATAAATGCATTTCACTCCTTACCTCTACAATGTGCTTTCCGATGACAAATTTGATTTGTGTCATTTAAAATGTGGCGAGGGTTCAAGAAATAGAAAGTAATTCGTATCAAGGAGAAAGTTAAGAAGGCTGATCAGGTAGACTATTCATGGGCAGGAATGCAACTTGGGTACCCAATTAAGTTGAAGATTTAACACTGTATTGAGCCCAGGCTTTAGGTGCTCATTCAGGATTTAACAAAAGCTCAACTCAAGCTAGCCTGCCCAAATTGCACCCCTAGTCTTGGGGGCAATATTTACAGCCCAAGTTTATAAAACTTACAGTCTTAGTGCTGCTTTTGGAGTACTGGTACCTTGAAAGTTGAAACATGTTTATGTGCCATAGAATTGCTCTGCATCCACTAGTCCTTTGAGAAGTTGGCCGATGAAAGAAATATTTCATTTGCTGGATTTTAGTAGTAGAAACATGATATTTGTGTCTGGTCAATCCCCTATATATATCAGGTCTTAAGTTTCTTGGATATTTTACAATAAAAAAAAGGTCAAAATGGTTTCATTGCCATGTGCTTACTTAGATGGCTACTTGGTTGAAACCCACAAAATGGAAATAGTCACATTGAGACAAGAACCAGCTAGACTCATTGAGCTACAACATAGATTTACTATGCCAAAATGTTGAATAAATATGCTTTTTGACCTTATTTTGTTCAACAAGAACACTTGACTTATTGTTTTGGTATATTTCCCTTGTTGATTGAGCAGGACTTTGCTAGATTAAGCATTTGGAAAATAAAACTTAAACAACCCAAGATTGCAGAATAGATTGGAAAAGAGGGAGAGCTTCATGAGACAAGTTTCAGGCCAGTAGCCTCATCCACACTGTCCACAGGGTTTTTCCTCGAAAAATTTCTAACAGTTGGCATATGTTGGAGGGATGTATTCATGTGAATGCAGTTCTATTGCATTGCTGTCCCTGTGCACTAACGAATTGGGGAGGAAACTTTTCTGCTGTTCTAATTCACACTCAATAGATTACGGAATGGCCACTTTGAGTTCAAGAAAACAAAACATTTCTTAGTTTATAGCTTCAAATTCAATATTCAATTACCACTTCAAGTCCAAAGGAACTAACTCTTAGTTTCCACTTCAAGTCCAAAGGAACACAAGTCCAGAGGTTTGTGTATATGTTAATTGCCATGATCAATATTCCAAACATGATCGGGTTGATACAGTAAAAGTGGGTCACCCGGGACCATACAACTATACAAGATAGGATCAGGCTTCTAGCTAGACTTACTGTACCTGTAAGTCTGTAACCAAAATCAGGTTAGGTTCAGTCAAATTAACTGCCCTAACAAGACTTGCCAGGTACTAGTTTGCACTTACTGACCCCTTACAGCCAAACGTTGTCCAAGGTCAAGAAGCCAATCAACCAGATCAAACGTTGTCAGCTGTCATCTAAGAAATGAAGAAGCAATAAATGGGACGGAAGTTATAAAGTTACTAAATTTACAGTCAGAGAGGCCATAAAGTGGGACTATGGGAGACCCTACAATCATTTACTAGTCCCTTAGAAAGCTTTTGATCTTAGTTTATGGGAGCATGTCCTGTACATTTAGGCATGGAGGTTTGACAACCTGCCATGTCTTAATTGGGTCATGTCCACACTGAGTGGGTCATTCCTACCAAACTGCCTACCCCAAAAGCCAACACCACCAGTTGAAATTTAACCACATGGTCCATATCATTATATCATCTTTGGACTGTTTTGATCAGTAACAATCTTTTTTCTTCACTTACAGAAAAAAAAAATAGTGTAAACAATGCAAGTTGGGTCAATTGCACAAGCTGATTCCTTCCCTAATCAATTTCTTACATGGGTCTGATTCTGGACCCAAGATAAAAACTTGAGTTGAGATTAAAAATTTCTATTAAGGGAATGGTATCAGATGTAAAACACAAAATGACAAAGCATAAAACTGTTTTTTTTATGGTAATCGACACCCACTAAACAGATCGGCCAAATGGATCATGTTGAGATTGTAAAAAGAATATCTCTTAGTTTGGTGAATCCCCACCTAATAGTAAAGCCACTGACTCCCTCTTGATGCCCCACATAACTGTTGTCTCCTTTCACAGTACACAAGCCATTAATGTGACCTAATAAAGCTTCATTGTACCCTTTAAAGGCAGTAAATTTGCAAAAGAGAAGACTGTTTAATTTTATTATGGACTGTCATATTAAGCTACTGTGCACTACTTGTGGTGTTCAAATTTCCACTCCATTGTTTAATTCAAGTAAATGGAAGGGATCCCCAGAGTTAGGAAAAGGTTCCATTACTTCTATTACTTCTGAAGAGGAATATTCCCCTTATTTTTTCCAAGGCTCCTGCAGCTTTCACCATGTGCCCTTGGAGGTTTCTGCCAACCTTTTCCCAAACTAGGGGTTAAATTACTCCCACCATTCATTTGGGCTTGTGGTGTGGCTTCTCATTTTGCCTCTATCTCAACGCATTCTTTTATTGTTTTCATGGTACAAGAAGATTGCCATCAAGCTCATTGAGCCCCATTTCAGCTCCATATTGAATGCTGCTTTGCAATCAAGGGGGGACCTTTTATCATATAAGAAGAAAACAAGAATTCTGGCCTTCTGGGGTGAAGCCAAAACTGCAAATATAATCAAGGGTTCTTTCTAATTGATCAGAACCGTCCATTCAATTGCACAACCATTAATTGGGTTTCTTCACTTCAGGCCAAGGCCCCAGACCACTGACCCGGTTCTGTCTGAACCAGAGAGAGAGAGAGAGAGAGAGAGAGAGGTGAAGCGGTGAACTTTACCAAAACAAAGAAGAAACAGAGAATTGGGAATTTCATGTCGTGTGATGAGTAGAAAGCAAGGAAAGAGGTTCCGAAATCTAATTGGTAATGACTTTTAAATTTCCAGGAAACATACACTTCATGCCATCACCATCACATGGGAGAAGAGCCACCTCCACCGTTTCAACACTTCTTCCTCCACGCCCTCCTCCCTTCCCACCTCTTCAGCCTCCTCGTTGAAGCCCCCAATTAGGGTTCTCATTGCTCCTCTGATATCATGTTTGCTGTTCTTCTGCTCCTCCAGACCCGTTAATTGCTTCTGTCTTTTTCTTTGGGGGCGCCAATTTGATTTTCTTTTACTTTTCATTTCATTTCTGCCGTTTCTCTCTTAGAGTCGGTTGGGAAGAACAGCATTAATGTGGGCTTCGTTCTTGTTGTTGACGTTACTCTTGTTCCGTTACTGATCTCGGGTTCTGTTATTTCATTTTATTCTTTTGAGGTTTTGATTCGGTGGGTCATTGAGGATCCATGGAGGAAAGTATCTCGTGTCAGTGGAGCATGTTTCGAGCTCTTCTTTCTATTGTTCAATGGTGGGGTTTTAATGTCACAGTGATTATCATGAACAAATGGATCTTTCAGGTCAGTATCCGCGTTCTGTTATTGCCAAAGTTTGTTCCTTTCTCAATTCTGTTAAATGGGCATGCTTTTTATTTTTCAAAATTTTATGGGTATGTATTATCTTTTCGATTGATTACTAAATTTTGGATTTTTGATGATTTTGATTGTTGAAGGATGCTCGCTTTTGTTCGTTGTCTTTGAGTCATTGTTTCCATCTGATTTCATGATTTATAAGTTTATTTATAATTTTTCTGGTTACTGTGACAAGGGAATGAACTATTGATTTGTTTATAAAACTTGACTATTTATGGCATGAAAAGTGGCCACTGTATAGACCTGATAGTAGAGGAAAGCTTACTTCATTATTCTTGTTCGCCGTTTTTTTTTTCTATTTTTCTTTTTTTTTCACTATTCAGTGTTTGATGTTCCAATTTTATAGGCAGAATGTAAACCGATTTGCAGTTCAATATTTTATTAATTTTAAACAGTGAATACGTGTTATAGATCTCTGAACTTTACTTCAGGGAGATGCACCTAATGTGCTTGTTCTTCCTGACTACTTGGATGTAACTATTTCATTACTCCTTGGATTCAGTTTGGGCTTGCTTTATTCTATGAATTTAGATTCACCTTGCTTTCTGTAACAAGATGTTAATGTCTTGCTATCTTGAAAAACTTATTCCAAATAAGAAACTTCCATATGTGCCAGTTGATGTCACATTTGGGTTCACTTTGAAATTTTGAATTTGAATTCTGATATGAACCAATTGTCTAAGGAGTAAGGGACATTGCTGATAAATTGATGATGCTCAATTCTATCAGCATTTTCAAACCCTCTAACCTGGCAGCTAACATCCCCTTTATAAAGGTTTTCCTTTGCTTCTGACATGCTCCAATTGAGATCCTCTTTCTTCTTGAGATGTATGACATTTGCATAACTAAGCTTAATTTCTCTGTTCTAGCTTAGTAGATGTCTATCTATTTCAGTAATGGAGCGTCCTTTTGAACTAAGGTCTCTCTAGAACATTAGTTAGATGATTTCCTTTCCCGTTTGACACTGTTAAAGCTTCAACTAATGGACATGGATTGTTCACTTTTCTGCTGCTATATATTTCAGCAACAAGATGATATCTGGAATGAAACTTAGAAAGTATCAAATATACTTTGTTATGGGGATCTTAAATTGCAAATAGAAGAATGGTAGGCAGTTAGTAATTACAGTTCTTCATATGTTGCCATGTAAAAGACCAGAAGACATGCCACACATTAATGGTTATTAATCTGACAGAAGATCTAAGTTAAGCTTATTATAATCATCTTCTGTCTTATTAGTTTCTTCAAAATGCCTACTTAGCAAAGGATACAGCATTTTTTTTTTTGAGAGAAAAGGTAAAATATTTCATTAAAGCAAACTGAAAAGGATACAGCATTGCCCAATGAGACGCTGGACAAGACAGAAAATCACTTTGTACATCCCAAAAACCACTATATGAACATCATACAAAAAGATTACTGTGCTCAAAAAATTAACTGTAAGGACAATTCTTGAACAATTTGTGAGTGAGTGTAACCTTCCCCAAATGCTCTTTAAGACTTCCTCCTCTGACCTAAAATTATCTTCAAAAAGCCTCCTATTTCTTTCCAACCAGATTGACCACATTACAGCCGCTGGCAACACCTTGCATAATGAGTTGTATACTCTTTAGTAAGTTGAGAATTTTTCTTATCTTTTCTTGGGAAGGTTTTTTCGTTGACATTAATAATAACATTGGAAATGTCTTTGGGTGACCATTCTTCTTTTTCTAGATTTCTTCACTTTAATTTGCTTCTTGGTTCAATTCACTCCATATTTGTTGCCATTTAGATTTGAGACTTGCAACATCATTACATTGTTCATTTTGTACCCATAATGTCCACTGAGTTGAATCTGAAAATTTTGAATTTTTATTTATAGATAAAACAGGCATTTCTATAATTTTTCAGTCGCTATTTTCTAATGTTTGGGTCATTAGTAGTTTGACTATTTGTATTAGAAGTTTTGGTTTTCCTGATTACACTAGAAGTTTGCTTTCTAAATGGATTAAGACCTATGTTAGTATGTCAGAATTATATCAGTAAGGGCATAGTCATTAAGTTAACTAGGGGTGGATTTGAGCCGAGCCGAGCCAATTAGTACGAGGCTCGAGCTTGAGCTCGAGCTTGGTTCGAGCTAGAACCTTGAGCTCGAGCTCAATTTGAGAAAAAAAAATGTTTTATAAAATAAAAAATTATATATAAAAATATTTTTATTTGATATTTAAAAAATTAAGAATTATAATAATTAAAAATTATAATATTTTTATTATATATATATATATATATATGTATTCGAGCTCGGCTCGGTTTCAACCGAGCTTCAAGCCAAGCTAAAGTAACTCTTCAAGAGCTCAGCTTGTGGCCACCCCTAAAGTTAACAAAGATATGTCTTAGGTCAAAGTCCTAGCTCTTTTCCAGCTAGGATTTGTCCTAGTACTAGTTTGTTGGTAGTATTTTTTAGCTGGTTTTGAAATCAGAAAGACAAGGAAAAAGGCTACTATCCCCTCCTCTCTTTGCTTATAAATATTTTTAAAGTCCTTTCTTTTTGACATCAAATAATAATGTTAGAGTTTCTGCTTCTACTGTTGAAGTGGTTCTAATTTTCTCAATGGAATGAATTCCTTCAAGAAGCGATCAGCTGCTGGTTCCCAATAGTTCTTCTAGGTGATGATTTTTAGGTCTTTTTTTCTATTTTTGCAGGCTTATTCTGCATCTGTTGGCTTGGTGTCATAGCATTTGGTCCTGCATTAGATTACCCTCACATAAAGAGGCTTTTGAATATTTTACAAATAATCACCTGGACAAAAGACTATATGGATACCGATAACAACAGGCCTTTACAGATATTAATCTTGTAAGTAACACGTTGACACATCAAAGGACTTCCACAAACTATTGTTGTTGCCTTGGAATGGATTCAACTTGGCCTTCTTTAACATAACTAAAAAATGAGTTTTCAGAATGCATTATAGGTGTTAATATTTTTGTTGAACTCATCATCAATATATTCTAGAACTAGCATGAAGATATGCCATTAGAGACAGTGGAGTGAACTTCTAGTTTGGTCTTGCGGTCTGTGAACACAGGATACTGTTTCTGCTACAACACGGGTTTAGTAACCACTTCTTGATTCTGTGTTCTCTCAATGCATGGGCACAGGCTCAACTTGCTTCTGCTAAGCTAAAAGGGATATTTTCTGTAGGTTTGAGATGTAAATTTTTAGAACAAGATATACTAACAGTAGGAGTGGCAATTGGGCAGGTTGGGTTTGGGTTTAACTTCAACCCAACCCATTTAAATAAAATTAAATGGGTTAGGTTCAACCCAAACCCACTTTGACCCAATCCAACCCACCCAGCCCGTTAACCTTGTAACAACTTAGTTTATGACACTATAAACTAATATCCAACTCCCTTTTGACAAATAAGTCGGTCATAGCTTAGTGGTAATGGTGGTCGCCTTTCACACGTGTTTTAAGGTTCAAATCACATTACATGCACATTATTTTACAAGGAGAATTTAAAAGCAATTAATCACCTGGAGCCATTTGACTAGGTTCGAGTTTTGGGTTTGGTTGAACCATTTGGGTCCAAATCACACCAGACCAACTTGAACCATCTAACTGGGTTCATATTCGAGCTAATTGCATCAAGAGTGGTCAAACCGTTCAAGCTCAAATCAGACGTAAACCAAATCAAGCTGAACTAACCACGCCCAGGCTGCTTTGCAATGGGTGCAGCCAGCTCATTCAGATCTGAATCAAGTCGATTCAAGCCAGACCAGTCCAAATTGTTTTGGGTTGGGTCAAATTGCTTGGTCGTTGGGTTGATTTGGGTTGGGTACAGTTGGGTCATTTGGGCAAGAATCAAATCAGACCAGATTGGGCCATTGAACCAATTGATTGGGTTTTTGTTAATTCCAAACAGGTATGGGTGAACCAACTTATCCAAACCAGATTAATCCATTGAACCATTTGATTGAGTTTGGATTCATGTTGATTTGGGTGAACTGTGTTGACTCAAATTGGAACTAATTTTAGTCAATAATTAATTAGAAATTAATGCATTAATTATGAATTGTTTGACTTGAATGAAGAAAATTAAAGAACAAATTGTTAGAGAATTCACACTTGTATCATTAGTGGCTAACCCAATGGATACCAACAACCCGACCCAACCCAACCCATTGAAATTGATCCATTGGGTGAATCAACCCATTTCCAATCCACTAAGTAAATGGGTGGTTATATAATGGGTGGGTTCAGTGGGTTGGGTAAGAAATTGCCACCCCTATCTAACAGTCAGCAAGGTGTGAAACTTGTCTTAAAACTCATGCAATACCAAGATCCTTTCTCTAATTCTTCAAGTTAAATAATAATAATAATAATAATAATAATAATAATAATAATAATAATAATAATAATGATAATAACAACAAAAGCTAGCATATATTAACTCCTAGAATTCCTGCAAGGAAGAAACTGAAACTGTTAGAATTAAGATGAAGTCACAAAGCTAACTGCAACCTTCAATGTTTTATATAAAAGCATCTTTGAAGCTCAAAATAATGTTAATTGCTCCACTCCTTCTCGATGATATCTGTAAATTGACTTTGATCTTCTTTCTTGGCTTGAGGACAATGTTGCATTTCACTTTCTCTGTGCATGTTGGGAATTGTTGTGGAAGAATTATTTTTTTATCGAAAGTTTTCTCATGGAACTTCACCTTAAGCCATGAGGTCTTTGATTCTTTCTTTGTTGGAAGACTCACCAACGATATTCTCATTTTAATGAGCAGTGTGTCCCAATAATTAAATTTCCTTCTTGTGTTAATATGCAGCCAAGGACTATAAATCTCCTCAGTGAACTATACCACTCCTCTTTCAATCTCCAATCTTTTATTAACCCTGTGAGACTTCCAATATCACACCTTGAAAAAGGATTAACAATTCAGCCCAAACTAATGTCCGATTCCCAATTAACAACGTATAAATTAGTAAGATTTTACATTCTTGTTCTCTAAGTGCCCCTCCAATACCTGAACATCCAGGGTTGCCTAAGCTACAACCATCAATAATCAAACAGATTTATACTTAAGGCTTGATTACCATCATTAGTTAATTAGTTTTAAAAACGGAGATTGAATAATACTTAAGAGGGACCAGAAAAGGGAAGAATCTGTTGGGGGACATCAGAACATTTGTGACTTACAAATGTTAGTCAGATAAGATAACTTTGTTGCTTAGTTAACACCGGTCTCGTTACTTTTTTATTGTAAAATCTAATTGTGCTCATGTTTTTCTTTTGCATGTTTGGAAGCAATGATGCCGAGAGAACTTTGTCTTTTTCTTCTTCCCCTTTTTCCTCTATTCTACCGTGTAGTGATGTATTGCTTGCATTCTGTATTTTGGTTTTTCTTCTTGTTCAAATGCTTATTTTGATCTTGTTCTTCATCCTCATTCATGAAGACTTGATATCAATGATCAGAGTTTCATTTGGATTTTCAAAATTCTCACATTTTTATCTGGTTTTGAGGAAGATTGCAATGAAATATATTCATCAAAAAAAAAAAGATTGCAATGAAATATATAGCCATATCTTACTTAGTGCAAAATAGAGGAGAAAGGAGAAATTTTCATTTGTTAGATCAGATCAGAGTAAAAAGGAGGTATTTATAAGTATTATTGGGAGAAAAACAGGAAAGGATATGAAAGAAATTGTAATTAACGCAAAATAAGTTAAAAACATTCAATAGCTCTCCCTGAAACATTAGTTCAGTTTGGGAAGAGTGCAAACACGAATATGTACAGTGTAAATACAAAGTTTAGAAATGTTGTATACAAAGGGTTTGCACAGTGCATATTTGTATTTGCACTTCCATACTGAGCCTTTGAGAAAAATCTATTTTGTGCCAGTTTGAGATACAGCTCAAACCTGAATATCCTTATTGACTATCACTTTTAATATAGCCTTTTTGTTATTAGTTTGAAAAAATGATACTGAGATGCCTATTCTTGGGTAGAATGCTAGAGCCAACAATATGTCAACTAGTTTGTATCATATAATAACAGAAAAATAAAGAACTAGACAAGATCACCCAATGGTACAGACTAACAAGTTATTGAGCCATTCACAAGAGAAGATTATATTTTAGGAAGTTGATATTATAGTGGTGGAACCTGTACCCATGTGCCAAATTTGTAAATATGTAGCACAGTAGCAGTGTCATTTCCTGCATCCGTATCTGGGAATAAAGTTCAGAATGCAGTATGGTTAACTTTGCCATTTTTTATTGTATTGTATTGTCAGAAAGCCCAAGATGTTGTAAAACATTTGAGAATGTTTGACTACAAAGCTGGTACTTGATTAGCACTTAGCAGGAGGTAATGATAAACTATAAGCTTGATTTTAAAATCTAGAATCTTGATTTTGATCTAATTGTATTAGGTTGTTCATTGATTTGAAGAATCTTTTATGCTCCTTTCTTTTCTCTGAATATATGCATTCATGTGTCTTAATTGCAAGATTAATCCTTGCACATTTCTTAAAACTTACATGGTTATTGTTGGATCGTTGAGAGTCTGATACATATCCTAAATACAGAAATTAGATTTCAAGTTCCCTCTTTCAGTATCATGCGTCCACTTCATATGCTCAGCTCTTGGAGCATGCATAGTAATCAAAATGCTGAAGCTTAAGCCACTGATTGAGGTCGATCCTGAAGACCGTTGGAGAAGAATATTCCCAATGTCATTTGTTTTTTGCGTCAACATTGTCTTGGGGAATGTAAGCTTACGATATATTCCAGTTTCTTTTATGCAGACTATAAAATCATTCACTCCTGCAACAACAGGTTAGGTTGATATCTTGTTTTCTATTCATTTAATCTTCGTGCAAGTTTTCATTTAGTTTAATTTATCATAGTCTTGATTGATTCCAATGATGTTGAACAGTAATTCTGCAGTGGCTAGTCTGGAGAAAATACTTTGACTGGCGCATTTGGGCTTCTTTGGTACCCATTGTAGGAGGAATTCTTCTCACATCTGTTACAGAGCTTAGTTTTAATATATTTGGATTTTGTGCTGCTCTATTTGGTTGCCTGGCTACATCTACAAAGACTATTCTTGCAGAGTCTTTGCTGCATGGATACAAATTTGATAGGTAGTGTGGCTGTTCTTGTTGTCTTTAACAAGTTAAAGAACCTTTCTCTCTGGTGATGGAATTTACTATCAAAACATTTATCTTTGTTCTAAGTTTGTCTGTCGTAATTGCTAAACATTGCTTTATCTTAACTTTGGACTTGTCACGTTATAGCTAGTTTCATGGGGTGGGGGTGACTGGGGATAGGGGTTAATTTACATTGGCTAACTGCTTCACCTCATAAACCAAGTTGTTTGTCTGTTGTTCACATTATTTTTGTCTTAGTATTGAAACATGATATTTTACCTAGTTTTTCCTACATTTTTTGTATCAGTTTTCTTGTATTTCATTTCACCTCACCATTCATGCTTGACTTGTGATCTGTTTGTGTATTGTTTAGCATAAACACCGTTTATTACATGGCACCTTTTGCGACCATGATCTTGGCAGTCCCAGCAATTCTTCTTGAAGGGACTGGAATCGTTAACTGGTTTCAGACACATGAGTCTGTTTTCTCTTCACTCATCATTATTTTCAGCTCCGGGGTGCTGGCTTTCTTCCTCAACTTCTCCATCTTTTATGTAATTCACTCAACAACTGCGGTCACTTTTAATGTGGCTGGCAATCTCAAGGTAGGATGAATAAGATGGATTGGTTCACTCTTGCTTCCCTATCCAACTGTTCTCTTGGATTTTGTTTCTTGTGTTTACAGGTTGCAGTGGCTATTCTGGTTTCATGGATGATATTCCGAAATCCAATCTCTGTCTTGAATGCTGTAGGATGTGGGGTGACACTCATTGGTTGTACATTCTATGGGTACGTGAGGCACAAGCTCTCTCAGCAAGCACCGGGGACACCTCGAACCCCCCAGACACCCCGGAGCCGGATGGAGATGACCCCACTTGTAAACGATAAATTGGATGATAAAGTTTAGTTTAGAAAAGATGAGATGATGCCACCATTTGATTAAAGGAAGGAAAAAAACAACCATCTGTTGTCTGTGTACACCCATTAGTTGAATTAGATTCAGTCATGCTTCTTGCTTACCAATATATCGTTGTTCCACACAAATCTCATTTGATAGTTGATATCGAAGTATATTATCCATTGTTTAGCCACCAGGTCTAAAACCTTGGTAGTGGCTTCCAGCTTGAGCAGGCATTGAAATCAATGGAAGAGGACCCAAGTTTGTTGAGAAATGAGACTTGACCAAGACCCTGGTGGAGTGAGGCAGTGAGCAAGACTTTTGTGGTCTCTCCTGGGTAAACGGGAAGGCAAATACTTATGGGTTTCGTGACCCAGAAAAACAGATTTATTGGGGCTAGATTTCTGGACTTCGGTTTTCACATTTTTTTATATTTAATTGATTTAAATACCAAAGTCAGCATCAGCAACAAAGCCAAAGTTCTTTGTCGTACAGGCTAAATTAAAGCTCATGCCCAATTCTTTTAAGTACCAGAAGAAGTAATCATCAATGAAGCTTCAAATTGCACCAGTTGGATCAGCTTGTTCAGTCAATTTCCTCCGTTAAATCAATTTATCATCTTAAGATTTCCCTGAGCAAAAGTGTCCTCTATTCTTTCGGCTAGCGCGTAGGATCTCAGAGCAGTAGACTCTCGGATTTAGTCCTGCACTCCTGCCCCATGATTAGACTTGCTTCAGTTTCATTTACCATGGCCAGATTGGCTCCTACTGTTATTCTTAACCTCCACTCCATTTTGTTCATGAGGCACCATTTGTTTGCATTGCAAATTTGAAACAGATATAAGTTTTGCATGCAGTTTAGTTTGTTTGTCCCATCTGATTGTACATTTTGTCTCATTTGTGCTCACTGGAAGTCCAAGACTTATTCTTATCTCAATTGTCTCTCATATAAAGTGGGGGCCACAACATCTTGCTTTCCATCTCACTGCCAAACAAATAACTCTCCACAAGTCCAAACAACTAAGATCAGTCAAAACTGACGATTCAGCCTATTTGCACTCATGTATTTACAGCAGTTTTATACCACCGACAAACAGAGCAAGAGAAACAATCAAGGTTAAAGTCATTTTTAGTTGATTTTATTAATAATATATAATATTTTAATTATTTTTAATGTAATTTATTAATGATATTCAATACTCAATTACAATCCCAACATGTTTCAAAATATTGATATATACGACATGTATCAATTTTCATCAGGATCATGGAAATGCTATATACTAGGATTTAAGGGGTTTTAAATAGGTTTAAACATTAGAACCCCTCCTAATATATTTATTTTCAAAATAATGAATTAAAAAAGGCATAGATATTTGAAAACTTGTGATTTGCATATAATATCAATATTTTGAACCTTGAATCCCATATGGGTAATATTTAATTCAAATCCAAATATTAACAAATCAAATGTGGATAGAGGTATGTCTCATTTAAACCTGTTTGGTACCATTGTCATTTCTTCATGAAAGGTTGGGGTTGATGAATAGAAAATGATGAGAAATATGAATTATCACATCACATAAGGGAGTCATTTCAACTGAAAAAGTTGCATGTAGGGGACTGATCATTTCCATTTAGAGTTGATTAATCCAAAATGTTTTTGATTATGTGACTTGACAATTCATATTTGACACCAATTTCTATTAATCAACCTTAAATCTTTTATGATAAAAACAAAATGGTACCAAACACAACCTTAATATGATCCTTTTGGTGCTTACCCCTTCTCTTTTTCACTATTTAGCTGTATGAAACCCTGGATTTGGATTCAAAAGGCCCAGGAAGAGAGGTTTCTACCGTCTTGCAGACTGCAGTGTGCCACACCCATTAGGTAGCTTCATGGCTCATGCCCTACATTAGCCTGTTCAACCGGCCGGTTTCTTGAGTGGGTCCTCCACTGTTTATCGTACGGTTGTACCCTAGGTTGTCTGGTGAGTGATGACCAAATCTCCTACCAAAAGAATCTAAATTATTCAGCTGGGTAGCTTCTAAGTGGGTCTCCAGCCACAGTTCACTGTCCTTTTTGCCAACCGAAAATTTCCTGTGGGCCAGATCTAAGATTTGCCCTTATCTCAGACATGCACCTATATATACGGCTTAACCGTGTTGAATTGGCCAACCCTCAATAATTGTACAAGCTACAAAGTTCGAAGTTCAAAGTTGAAACCCTTGCAAAGACCCAAACGATTTGAAGTTTTGAACCCCATTTTGAGCTGATTCTTGCCGATTTGAATCGAGTTATGTAGTACTTGGCCAATTCCAACAAGGGAAACTCTGACTTTGAGCCGGTCTGCATTTCGGGCCATTGTAAAACCCAGTTGTTCACCATGTGATCCGGATTTTCATGAACATAAACATATCGAAAAATCCAGATAGCTTGGCGGGTTGCTGGGTTGACCGATGGTTCTACCTGGGTACAGGCTTGGCTCTAATGGGGCTGAAGAAGAAGAACCGATGGAGACCAGAGAGACTGTGGAATTAACTGAGCTCCCAACTCTCTGGTTTGACACAGTCCTCCCTCAGTCCCTCTTTCATGGGTCCCATTTGCTTTACACAGAAATATTCGTCCTTTCTAATGGGTCCCCCTTAGAGCCTAGGGTTTGTTTGCATCGACAGTGGATTTCAAAACATCTCGTGGACCGCTCAGTGGAGAGGACCCACACTGGCTAACGTAATTCACCGGGTGATTCCATACTTCTATTCTACGAGACGCTACCATAGGGACAAGAAAGCTCAAGCTCTCTACTTCGGTAGTACATGGGACTATTGTGACTTGGCAAAATCACCAAACATTAACTTCCAATTCCAAATCCTCATTTTCTGCTGGTATTCATGGTTGGAAAGCTGGACAACTTGTGGGCCCTTGATTGTCATGGCTGAGGCATTGAACTATTAGAAGCTCTATTATTCATCATGGCCACCCTTCCTTCCAGAGAGACTTGTCCCTCTCTAGATAGTTAAGGGTTTTGGGTCAATGCTTGACAGGGACCCAACTTAGTAGAAATAGCCAAAGATCAAGCCATAAGAAAAAGACAGATCTAATTGCTAGGATCAAATTATAAGAAAGGGCATGCACCCACAAGATGGGCATCCCTGATAATAGAAGTTATTAAATCTCATCCATGCAATTTGGATTTATGGCCCTCACATTGGATTGGGTGGCCCACTCCCTATAACCCATTCTTTTGACTCGTAAGGGGGGACCCCCCAACTTACTAGATATGGCCAATAATCAGGTCATCACAGAAGAGACAGGTCTGATGGCTAAATATATATCCATAAGAAAGGCCATTTACCCACAAGATTGGCATCCCTGACAGTAAAAGTAGATAAATCTTATCCATGCAATTTTGGGTGGATGGCCCACCTCCCATAACCAATTCTCTATCTACAGAACATTTGATTTAGACTCGTAAGGAATTAGAAACAAAATAATGGAACAAGAGAGCCTTTGGTTTCATTGTTGAATCATGAAAGCTTTAGAAGATACACAATTTGATCTAATTCGGTTTTAGTTATATGGCCTCGTTAGAACCATAACCCAAGCTTCTACAGAACATCTGGTTGAACTCGTTGACAAAGGATAATTAACATAGAGAACTTGGTAAATAGAACAAAGCTGTAGTATTACTATGACATGAGATTAGAAGATTCACATTTCACAGTTTTCTCTACAAAGGAAGAACCAGATCCAATGCTACACACGTTTTTCCTCCTCTGCTTCAAGTTAACTTGTTAGTAGTAGTTGGTCAAGCCAAGAGCCAGAAGTTCTTCTGCCATCTGGTGCTGATGAGGTACCCGCCCATGCCTCTGCTCTGCTTCCTCACCCCAAATGTAAGGCAGTCTGCATTGTTGATGCACTGCTCCACAAAATCCTCATCACTGCTGCTAACACACATGCTGCAAAAAGCCCACAACATCAGAGCATTGAAAAAGAAAAAAAAAAAAAAACAAGTTTTAAGCTCTAAAGATGAAGATTGAGATGAGAGTGCTACCCACCAGTTGAGTGGAGAAGGCTGCTTCTGACCCAACACCAAAATTGATACTTCAAGTTTCTTCACTTGGCTTAACACTGTTGAAAGCTTTGGCCCCTGTATCACTAAAGCCTCCACTTCCACCTGGTTATATTGAAGAGATAGAAATGAAAATAAACGTTCAGAGTCCAGAAAACCAAAAAGAAATGATGACAGAGAGTGAGCAAAGAAGAATGGGGATCCGCATGGAATCTGAGCATCTGTCAAAATGCAGAAGTGAGGGGGAAAAAGAGAGGGAGTAATAATAAAAGTCTGCAGCTAAAAGGATAGAACAAAGAAAGGAATCCACACAGTATCTACATCTGTGACTGTGAATGAAAATACAGTGTCTTGAGAAAAGGGAAAAAGAAAAGAAAGAAAAAGAAGGAATGCAGCTCTCTCTCTCTCTCTATCTCTCTTTCTCACACACACACATGCCCATCACTCACAGAATGAAAGATACCTCAGGTTTGCAAGCCTTGCAGAGGGACCCAAGAGAGTTGGCAAGACAAGGAGAAGAGTCTGACATTCTTTCAGAACCCCTCTGAGAAGGAGGGGGGACAATGTGGAGGAGAGTGAGTAGATCACCCTTGTTGGTCACATGTGTGAGTGCCCACATCATAGCATGTTTGGAACGGGCTGACTGATCCACCACAACCATCACTCTCTTCCTCATAACCAACCCACCATTCTCAGCTCCACCTCCATACATATTAAGCCCTTCCATTTGCTTCAGACTTCTCTGGCACCCTTCTCCTCCACCATATCTTCTCTTGTTGCTCCATCTGTTTGATGATGAAGTCCCATCTCTACCACTTAGCTGCCTCAGAAATGAACCTGCACTAGGCATCTTGGCTCTGCTTCTTCAACTCCTCTGTTCTCTTTCTTACCACCTATACTAATCTCTCTCTCTCTCTCTCTCTCTGGAAAACTTTGTACCTGACTCTTTGAAGTTGTAATGGAAGGATGAAGAAATCAAGATGGGGGAAGAGAGAGCTCCTTGAAGGTTTGAGAGTGGAAAGGAGAGAGTGTACTGCGTTCTTATAGTGTGCAGGAAAAGAAAAGTTAAGGGAGAGAAGAGACAAAAACAGTGATCAATGGCGGATGATGAAGCTAAAGCCACGTTTTTATCTTTCTGCAGATAAAGTCACGGGGAATCGCTCTCTTTAACATAAATGGGTGTCTGTATTTTGTAAATAAATCACTGTTAGCCTGTGTCCGATGAAAAAGAGGATTCTCTTTTCCTTCTTTTATCCCATCAAATCTCTCTCCCTCTCGCTGAAATCTGAATATAAAACCGCGTAGAGGATGGATAAATGAAGTACACAAAAGCCACAAACGTTTGGTGAAGGCTGCAAACATGGGTCGTATAATATGTGCTGCACATATGGGTTGTCCACTGTTTGACTGATCTGGGCCATCAATTGGTGGGCCCACTCACACGTAAGTACAAGCTTTTCAGCAAAAGTACAAGGACACCTGGATTGAGATTTGTGGGTCTCACGTGGTGCCCTATTAAACTACTTAACCCCCAATCACACAATGACTATTATAACCTTCTGAGTTAATCCTTTGTCTGGCTACTTCCATTGATGAAGGGTCCCACACAAAGATTGAATGGTTGTGATCATCCCAATTGCATCCCAAAACACTTTAAAATTTAAAACCAAGTAGTTGTGATCATCCCAATTGCTTCCCATAACTCTAAAATCAAGTGGCCCAGATTTGAGATTTCCATTGTGGGGGTCCCACCCAAGGATTGAAGGGTTGTAATCATCCCAATTGCTCCCCCAAACCCTAGAATCAAGTAGTCCAGATATCCTGCATGTCTGCCATGTGTACAAGTACAAGCCCATGTCACACTAGATTCACCCAAATCTATAATGATGTCTCCAAGCTAAGCCACCTTGTTTCCTTGTAATTTCTAGTAGATCAGAGGAGTCAGAGAGAGGATCATGATAATATCCTGCACAACCTACCAAGCTTAATAGGACATAGGAGTAATTTGGCCAACTGTATCCCTTGAAATCCCATTATTTTACTTGCTTCTCCTTCACTCGTCAGATGCAGCAGATTCATTCGTCATTTGGAGAATCCCTACAACTTAGAATAGTGAGGAATTTATTACTAAAAAATAATTAAATTTATTTTAATAATAAAAAGAGTAGTAGAGTATGGAAATTTTGTAACCAGAGACGGGCAGAGGGCCTCGTGAATTGGGTGAGCTTGATCGGGTCATCAGAACAGAAGTCAGTACTTTCAAATAATTGCTCCCGAGTAATTCGCTGGTGTCGGAAATTACCAGACTAGCCTTTACTGTTTATTATTATTTTATTCAAAAAATATTAAATTACTGAATCCATTTATTCTGTTCCATGATACATTAGTTCATGGCATGTGGAGTGACTAGGACATTGATTTTGGAATCTCCTTTATGATAGGGTCTGATTTGGGCTCGGGCCCACCTATTAAACTATCAGATTTATCCATGACCAACTAACTGCATTTAGATTTACATTTACTAAAATACCCTAACAAAAGATAATCACTTCTCTTGTTTCAATCCAGCCTTTTTATCATACTCTGTCTAAAATTGACATATTCACGCGTCGTGTGCAGGCCCGAGTCCAAAGCCCGGTATTATCATATATGCTATATAATATCTTAATTTTATTTTCTAATTTTATGTTTTTCTAACTTGTCCCTATCCAATAAATATATTTTGTACCGTCAAACTAAATCAGAAAATCACATATAAAACATAAGTTATTATCTGGTTTCTATTACTGATATATATTATTTTTGCTATTTATTAATATTATTGGGTTAGGCTTATTTCAAAAGCCAGAGCCTTGGGCCTAATACTTACAGCCCGAACCTGAGCCTACAAGCAAATTTGTATGCAAACCTTACGGGTTATAGCCCATGAGCAACAGGGAACTATTCCTTCCAAAGCATTAAAGTAGCAAATGTAGAGTTGTAAAATTTTTTTTGGTAAAAAAGAGTATTTTGATAGTTTAACACTTTTAATGATAAAAAGTTAAGGCCGTATTTGGAAACATGCAAATAAGTGTGGATATAAATATGTAGAGTATAAAACGGTTCATATAAATTGTAAAGTTGGATTAGGTTTACATTGATAAATTTACCTTCTTACCAAAACAGACTTTTAGCTGTAATGGATGCAAACATGAATTTCAATAAAGCATAAACTTTTTTTTTATCAAAGACCCACTTAAATGAGAATTTACTTATTTTTTTATTGATGTACTTTTACATCTTTTTATCAATGTAAATATGCATTAGTCTGTTATTTGTCAATGTATAAATGTAATGTTGCCAAACACAGGCAAAAGTGAACTAGTGCAAATTTACGCTGAACCAGAATTTACGCTCTATTTACATCGTTTCCAAATGCAGCTTAAAGAAAAAGAATGTAGTTACACCCTTTTTGGGATGAAAGTATAAGAGAAGTGTATATTTTGTGAGTAAATGTAGGAGAGCTTTTTATAATTTTTCCTTATTTTTTGTATTTTTTATAAGAAATATTAAGGTGTAAAACGGTATCTGATTATCCAAATTTGAATTTGAACTCAACCAATTTATGAATAACTCTTTTCAAAGATAATGAGAGCTGATAACCGATAGCAGAGCTCAATATAATTGAATCCAATTTGAATTAAATATATATGAAGTATGCTTAATACTCACATTATATCTATCAATAAAATTGGTTCGCATGTTGTATTAATAATAAATAATATTTTAATTATTTTTATCTTAACTTATTTATACTTTTTAATATCCAATTATAATCCGAATTCAATTCTAATCCGCTGTATATCCATTGTATAATATCTGATTTGAATTCAATTATAAGATCTACGATCCTTTTGCAGCCCGATATATTTGATAATTGATAGACAAAAAAAGAAAAAGAAAAAAAAAAGAATTTTCTTCTTTTTATTCTAATTTATGAAAGAGGGGTTTGCCCAGCAAATCAATAATATATATATATATATATATTTTTTGAAATCAAAATGCTTTGTATAATCCCACGGTAGAGATTCCGATCCAATGGACATTAGGTTGGTCTAATGTACGAATGATTTATTCCATGTGGTGATCCTGTTTGTGATTGGAAAGGAGGGAGGGAAACGTTATCTTTGTTTTGTATTTTGAAGTCAGTTTTGGGAGTTTGTGTCTGTCAATTAAGAGCCCAAACAAAAAAACAACCAGATGTTCGAAAAGGTAAGAGAGAGAGAGAGTAGACACGGATTACCTTCTCTTCCTCAGCCAGCTCTAGTTGATCTCGTGAATAGTATCCTATTTGTTACTGTAGGTCCACCTAGGATATAGGGATATAGCCTATAGGCTAGCTGTTGAGTCCCTCGTGGGCGTTATCATGTGGACCCTACTTGATTTTATTTTGATATTTTTTCTCCGCGAAATCAGGACCACGGAATGACATGTCACTTTTACAGCGGAGCAATCCTTATTTGTATGATTTAAAGTTTACTATATAGAAAATACAATATTATTATTACCAATTGCTGGAATAGCTCAGTTGGTTAGAGCGTGTGGCTGTTAACCACAAGGTCGGAGGTTCAAGCCCTCCTTCTAGCGATTTTTAAAAGATCATTTTTCTTTTTAAGGCCCGTTTGGGAAGAGTGAGTCCATATTTATATTTTTAAACCTTGTATTTGTATTTACAGTCTACCCAAACGGAGCCTTAGGTACTTGAGTTTGCTTTGAAATAGAAAGAATAAAAACCCTTCGAATGTCAGAAGAGAAGAATGAACAGACAAAAGGGTTGGCTTTGTCCTCCTTTGGAAGTATACTCTCATGAATGCAATTATGAACGTACTTTGAATTAATTTTAGGGGAAATGGCCCTACAGTCTTCCATTTCTTTGCTGTATTTTCTGTAGTCATTGTTCACATGCAAGGAATCACAGAGTAGCTTGGCCTTGGCCCATTAGCCTAGGTGAATACAGAAATAATGAGAGCTGGTCTAGGCTGTGCTGATGGCCTCGGATACTATAGATTTCAGCTAGGTAGAACAATTTCTAGATTAAATGTTCAAGTTATGTTTGAGCAACTAGCTTCCCAAAGTGGACAAATATACAAGTAGAAGAAACGCAGTTAGAAATGTAAATGCAAACTTGAAAGTGGGCTGGCCCATTAGCCCAGTAAAGGCCTCGTTAGGGAGTAGGATGGCCTAATGGACAATTGGGCTGGTTTCAGCTAGGCAGAACCATTAATGGGTCAAACAAATTAGATTAATTTCAAGTTGGGTTTGAGCAAGTAGCTTCCCAAAAAGGACAATTACATAAGTAGAAGTTACCCATTTAGAAATGCAATCCAGACTTGAAAGTAGCCTAGCCCATTAGCCCAGTAAAGTATAAGGCCAGGATGAGGACTAGGTTCGCCTAATGGACAATTGGGCTGGTTTCAGCTAGGCAGAACCATTAATGGGTCAAAYAAATTAGATTAATTTCAAGTTGGGTTTGAGCAAGTAGCTTCCCAAAAAGGACAATTACATAAGTAGAAGTTACCCATTTAGAAATGCAATCCAGACTTGAAAGTAGCCTAGCCCATTAGCCCAGTAAAGTATAAGGCCAGGATGAGGACTAGGTTCGCCTAATGGACCAATGGACTGGTCTAGGCTGTGCTTATGGTCTTGGACGCTATAGACTTCAGCTAGCAAAGTAGAAACATTTATGGGACAAACAAATTGGATTAAGTTAGGTTTGAGTAACAAGTTACCAAAAAAACAAAAGGATAATTACATAAAAAGAAATTACCCATTTAGCAATGCAAATCCTGACTTGAGAGTAGTCTGGGCCAATAGCCCATTAAAGTATGGCCCAACTAAGGACTAGGTTGGCATAATAGACCAATGGGCTTGGCCTAGGCTGTGCTAATGGTCTCACACATTATAGACTTCAACTAGGTAGAACCATTTATTGGTCAAATAAATTGGATCAAGTTCAAGTTAAGTTTGAGCAAGTAGCTCAGGCGATGACTTTACCTTGGGGGGGCGGCTGAGCCACTAGCCGAGAGAGGAGGGAGGGAGTTTTT